ATTTTAAGCTAAAAATGTATTTTGTTTCACATTTTAGATTCTAAGTGGAGCAATAAATATGTTGATTTTATTATGAGTATTTTTGTTTATTTTTTTTTATTTTTTTGTAGATGAATACCCGATAATTGTCGATAAAATAATTTGATTTTAAAAATGTGGGGTTGGCTATGGATAAAAAATTGGATCTGGTTTGTATTTCAGAATGGTCAAACTTAAAAATTCTACCATAAAGTAATTATTTATCCATAAACAATTTTTGATATTTTATCGTATTAAATGTTTAACACATTTTTAAGTTATTTATAGGCATGATAAATATTTAATTTTTTTTTAGTTATTTTTTATAAATGTTGATAAAAAAAATTTTGCAGCGTTAAAATACTTGAAAATATATTATAATATTCCAAAAAAAGTTATTTTTATAGCTATAAAGAAATACCAAAAATATATATGCACAATTTTTTTTTTTGTATGTATTTAAAGTTAGAATTTTAACGAAATTCATTAAAATCGAAAAAAAGCTACAAACTATTTTGTAGTTAAAAATTCGTAATTTTTTTTTTGTATCTTAGTTTTAAAAATGTAATACAAGATTCTGAAGAAGTAGTTTTTATACAAAACCAATAAAATCTAAAAAATGTATAAAAATGATTATTTTTTTATATACATTTTAAGTTTTATTTTGTATAAAATTACTTATTAAACAATAAATAACGGTATGAAAAATAATTTGTTATAATTTAAAATCATAGTTTATGTGAACTTAAACTTTTATTTATTTTATATTAGCATGATTTTTTACTATTATGCTATAACAGTATTAATTAATTTTAAAATGTTATCTATTTATAGGTACCATATATCTATTTTTACTGTTTTACGGTATTTATAAAAATATGTTATTCCATTTTGAGTAGGCTGATAAAATGTGCTATAAATAATATAATATATTGTTATAATAATTAATAGTATTATAGTATAATTGTGCAATATTTAAAAAAAAATTTTGTCGATCTAACAAAATGCTAAAAGTAAAGTTAATTTCTTTTATAAGTAAATCAAAAAACATATTATTATAATTTATTGATATAGGCTGATAGACTATTTTCGCTCAGAATCATTTATCGTTTAAAATGGTATAACATTTAATTCAAATTTAAAAAACTTATAATAGTAATTAGTAGGGTTGGGATTTTAATGCCCTAAAAAATCTCAAAAAGTGCCCTTAAACATATGCGAAAATTACTTAAAAAACTTAAAAATGCACTATAAAAATATATTTAAATTTATTCATTATAGCTTAAAAAAAAAAAAAAATTAAAAATAAACCCACTTGATACTAAATACACAGCAGAACAGTGCCCACTTACCTACTTTTTATATAATATATGTACGTTTTTAGACCACTTTTACCTATTTCATAACATTTGTATGTATTCAAACAAACTTTTGAATATAATTGAATATTTTCACCGTTTCCAGTAACTATAAAATACCAATTATAATATTTTTTCATGCAAAAAGACATGGTTAAAAAAAAATATTTATATTTATAATTTATAAGATAATTTTAAATATGTTTCTAGCACGTATAAAAAGATCAATTTATTTAAATAAATTTTAATATTACATACTTTCTTTAAACTTTAAACATTAAACAATATTTTGAAATTATAATGTTTTCATTTTGTATATTTAATTTATTTATTTAAAAGACTTTGGTAATTTTTCAGTGTTCTTTTAGTTTATGTAGTTTTATTGGTTTTAAGTTTTAATTTTTAGATCATCAAAATCCTATTTATATTTATATTGTTATAACCGTTGTACCTATATTTATTAATTTGTGCTATTTTATAATTTATTATGAATTAGATTTATAATTATGTAAGTATTTACATAATATATAATAATATATATATTTAATAACATTTTATTTGTAATTGATTTCTGATTGAAAGATAACGCACATATTCTTATTAGTAAATTATTAATATTATAGTATTTATTTTTTTACATATAAAATATGCAAATTAGATATGAGCTATAAAAGTTTAGGGAAAATAGCGACACAGCTGGCTGTTGCTACTAGAATGTAATATAATTTAGATTATAATTTTATCAGTTATTGTTTTTAACAGTATAATTTATTTATTTATATTAAATAATAATATTATATTTTAAAACTCATTTTTACATCACAGTTGTTTATTTTGCTAGTTTCAGATTATGGCTTAATTTTGTATAAGCGACAATAGTTTATAATGTCAATAATTCAAGCCATGCTGATATTGTTTGACCTCGTGAAATCAAGATGTTGATGTTAGTGCTCGCAGTAAAATAAACTACGTCAGAAACTATGTTGCAATCTAAGTTATACTTGAAAAATCACACAGCCATCTGTTTTATACCACACAGAGGGATCGGTCGAGTGGAACGATATACGCGCTCGTCACAATGACGGATCACTGGAGATGCGAAAAAAAAATAGTATACCTACGTACACACTCCTCATAACTTTTTCGCAATTTTTCCCGGTCAAACGAATCGTTTATGGTTTTCTTTTGATAGAGGTTAGGGAAAAAAACCGATGATAATATATAAAAACTAAAAAGGTATGCAGAAAAATATTTTTGGTTAAGGCTAAAAAAAATGTGAAACGTGTATTTCCGTATAGGCATAACAGATATCAGACTCCAACGTACATTTGCGAAAGAGAAAAACGCCGGAAACCCGATGGACCGCGAAGTAACATGATTGAAAAAATGCACATAAACAGAAATATAATATATGAGAAAATAAATAGGCATTTTATACCGTTTTACACGTGTTCCTTTCAAATTTCCCCTACGGTTCGGCTCTGAAAATCCGTCATTATTTCGGCCAGCCTCTACAGCTTTTAGTAAAGCCGGATTTAAAACATTGTTATACTCGCAAGTATACGTATCCACTATAATACAAGTCCTCCCCTCTATACTTAGTTTTTGAGGATTATAACTACAACAAACTGCATTACAAAATTTAATTTGATTAGTTTTGCGGATTGGTAACATAAATACAATTATTAATTTCTAAGCGAAATAAAAATATATCAATCTATATAAGTTTGTAATTAAATATTAAATATCTTCTAAAAAAATTCTATCAAAAATAATAAAATCATCAATTATACATTTTTTGAACACTAGTAAACTTACATTAACCCATATATGACAAATTCTAAAAACTTGTATAATACATTTTCTTAGTTTAAATATATATATATATATATATATATACAGTTATTCAGATGTAACAGTTATGTCATTTTTTGATAAAATTATAGATCTTTTGTATGAAAACGCTAATGTTATCATAAAAAAGTAAATTATTAGTCTGAGAATAACTTATTAGAGTTAAATATTAATAAATCAAAGTATGTTTATTTTAAGACGAAGTCAAAAATTATAAACACATATTGTGACAACATTTTTCACTCATCAAACTGTAATGGTATTTATTAAAGTTGTTTAATATTATAATAAGTAAGCACTATTAAATATTTAGGTATATCAATAATAATAAATTAAGATGTAATAATCAAATTAATAATTTAATTAACACTATGCAAAAATTGTTCTATTATGTTTTTAATTAAAAATGATTTATTTTCAATTTCGATAATAACTTTACTTTATTTTTCATTGGTTCAGTCCATAGTCAACTATGGAATATGTATAAGGGGACATGCATATGACTTATATGTTTTTAGAATAAATATTACCTTAAATAGAATAGTTACATTTTTATTACTTAAGCCTATGTATTATAGTAATAGTCTTGTATATTTTAAACTTAATGGGCCGCCCTTATATAAGTTGTATTTTAATAACACTTTACTAAGTTTATTCAATTTTAGACGAAAAATTTCCAAGTTAATTTACTTGCATAATTAACGATACAAAGAAGATATTAATATATCTGTCCAATATTTTAAAAAGCAAATTTAAATTAAATTGTATACATCTATTGCTATTTAAATATGTAGATCACTTAAAATTAATATTCATGGCTTTTCTAATTTAAATATGTTAAAATTATAGCTGAGGAACTTAGAACTATCAGAGATTTAATTATTGTAAATTTTAATAACATAATTTATTCTTAAGGAACTCTTTTTCTTTTTTGTTATTCTTTTATTTATTGTGTATTTTCTAAATTAAATATATGTATTTTTATTGTAATGAGCAAAAACTTTTTATATCCACCAAAAACATTATGCTGATAGAAGGGTTTGCGTCTATTTATTTTAATAAATATTAAGTTTTATATGTTGATTGTACTTTTTGCATGATATATGCATATTTATTATACTTACTTACTAAAATGTATAAATAATATTAAAATGTCATATAATTACTTATAGTATATCAACGTATAGTTTATTTTGAATTGTATTAAAACAATCAAAATATATTGTTGTAACTAATATCTAATGCACGTAGTAATTCTAATTTTAAAACTACAAATAAAAATGAGTTTTGAAAAGTTTTGAGTGCTCAGACACGGGAAAAAGGAAAAAATAAAAAAAAGTTCATCACTCTTTTTTTCTAACGTTTCTGAGTTCTTAAGCTATTTTATAGATTTTTTTTCCTCAAACATTATTCATCTGACAAAACTTCTTTGTTTTTTTGTAACTTTTTTTCAATATCTCGACGGCCTAGGAGCCATTCTTGTATTTTCATGATTCCCACTAGAATCCGAATTTGTTAAACATATCCTTTTGTTTAGATAAAAAGAGAAGAAACTATGTGCATGGTTTTTAGAAAAACAAATACACAAAAGAAAAGTGCAAATATTTTTTGATGGTACACTATCTCGAAAGTTACATATTATAAAATTTTAAAATTAAGAAACAGAATAAACCAGAAAATCTGGATTTACGCAGTTAGCGTCTATAGTAAAGATGTTAAATTTATATTTTAATTAAAATTATACGTTTAAAAATTGATAAATATACTTACTTTAAAATCTGGATCAGTACGTTTATTAAACGAACCGACGATGAAAAGATTGCCGGTATCGGTATCTACCATTTTAGCCAATGTTGTATACCTAAAATAAAATAATCAAACACACCTTATTAATACTTAATTCTATACTTGTGATAAATAGATTATTTTCGTTTATTTACATATTATTAACTATTTTTAATATAATTTAAAATTAATAAATAATTTTTATAAAATGATGCATGCTAAATTGATATTACTTATTAAGTATTAGAATAGTATAACAATTTATTACTAACCAATAAATTATGTATTAAGGATTTTCATCTTGGAACATTTGAATTTTTAATTATTTTAGAATAACCGAGGTATTTTATATTATTATATGAATAGGCATAATAGAGATATGAAAAGAAAAGGTTATAATATGTTAATAATATTCTATGTTACTTTACAAAGATTATAATTATATTCTTAACAAAGAGACAAAAACGTTACATGCCAAACATCTCTTATAAATATATACACATTAAGCTTATGATTATTATAGCAATTATTAACTTTTATGTTGTCAAACTTAAATGTGAAATGTTTTCTTAAATACCTACATACAATTTACTTTTAAGTTCATATTACTGTTATACGTATTAAACTTGGTTGACATTTTATAATTGTCTTATAATCGTAACTTGAAATTATGCACATGCATATAAAATAAACTACATTTTTGAGTGTTCATATTACTATTACTTGTATGAGCTTAAAAAATGTAGATAAATTTTACAAACTAGGAATATTTTATTATCTTGATAATTGATTGTCATTAGACGCTTAAACAATGATTTAATATTTAATAAACTTAGATTTTTAAATCTAAAATATAAAAATTTATACTTACTTAATTTTTTAAAATCGAATTCAAAATTAAAATGTATAAATTTACTAATGACTAAATAATTTTTAAATAGTTGGCACATTGGAATTGTGGTGATAAAAAAAATTTAAATAAATATTATAATATGCTTTATAAAAACTATATTTATTAACTAACTATATGGTTAGTACTCAATAAGAAAAATTGCTTATTAAAATGTCATACTTGTTAAATATACTGTTATTTTATGTTAAAGATATACATCAATCTTATGTTTACGACTTGGAATTTCTATCCTATCCCTAAATCCTAAAACAATATCGTGAATAATTCAACCGTCTCTTTCCCTTATCGGTTACTGATCAAAAATTATTTTTTTTTAGCGATCCTACTACGCCCTAATACTTCTCTGTCCTCATCGCTAAGTTATGAAATCTTGCACACCACAATAACCGCAGTAATAATAATAATAATAGTAATAATAATAATAATAATAATAATAATAATAATATTGCCTGCGAACTCCTGCGTTCCGTCACAAAGGTTGGCAATAAAATGCAATGATTCTTCTCTCATAATATTTATTTTCTTTTTAGCCAACAATGGTAGATAATTTTACAGAATTTTAACCGAATATTTTTTAGTTCTTCCAATCTATTCATAATATGTGCGTGAATATAACATAGCGAGTCACGAATCTTCGTATTTAGAACTTTTGTGTTAATCAATAACACATATAAACAATAATTATATTAATATATCTCATTCACAATATTATGAATAGTACCCAATGATTGTTATTAAAATATATTATATGTACATATTTTATTCTATTAAATTTACATATAATTTGATTGTGAAAACTGATTGTAACAATAATAATAAAATAATGTAGTCATAGGAAAGTCTTATTTTTTTGTAAGTTTATACTAAAATATGATATATAAATTAAATGTAAGTGAAACTGTGAAATATCAGTAAAAATTATCTCTTAAGGTAATGTGCTAAAAAAATTAAAAATAATAAGTTAAAACATAATGATTGGTTAATTACTAATTAATAAATAGTGATTGTATTAAATCTAAAATTTAAAATGAATATTATTCCCAGATTAACAGCAAACAAGATATGCTTATGACATAGTTACTTTAAAATGTGTATACATTTTACCTACTATTTTAAAATAGTAGACAATACAAATCATGCAGTTTTGGTTGTTAACGCGGTTATAAAATCAATTTGAAAAATGCGAAATGATTATGTATATTTCCCTGTGACATTATGTTTTCAATATCTAGTTTCATTTTAAATTTCGTATTATGATTGCCTTTTTGACGTATATACGAGGTTATTTCATTCCGAGTTACTGCATCCATTTATCCTATATAAGCGTTCAAACGGTTCATCAAATATTTTCTTTCTCATGGTTCATCGGTTTCATAGTAGCAGCTGGCCCTCCGGGGAAAAACTCAAACCTGGTTTACCGATTCTGTTATATACGTATATTTATATATATTGTGTCGTGGATATATAAATTGACTACGACGACATGGCAACTTTTAACAAGCCAATTTCCGAATTTCTCTTCATCTCTATTTTCATCCTCTATGTCCTCAGTCCGTAGCCCTTTGTCCATTTTAATCTAACCGCACGCACCGATACGGCATCTGAGTTCTAACAAGCTTCCTTTACCCACAAAAGGACTAATCGACCATACCAAAAGTCAAGAATCAACCTCCCAATTTTCCTGTCCAAAAAAAAATGTAAAGCTGCAAGTATAATATAGTGAAATTGAAATTAAAAACTTAAAAAAAAAAATTACTGTATAAATATACCATTACATATTAAGTAAAAATAAAAACAAATAAATAAATAAATACATTCGAGTATTACATATAATATAGCTCCGTATTCCGAATTCAAAATGATTTTCTCTCCATCATTCGTTTGCAGCTCACTCGATTCTAAACGAGCAATGAATTGCCGTTTAGGGGCTTAGGATTTATTATCGAGCAACTGGTATGCAAATTGAAACTTACTGCCAAGGTCTTATCTTGTTAGATTAATACCAAGCGATCAGGTACCCACTCAAGTTGTAGATTAATTATTCATCTTATGCAACACAAACCTGCGTCGTTTACATCGAATGAGATATTACTCAAATACGATGTTTCTAGCAGGATTTATAAATAGTATAATTAAATATCCCTTATTGTTACTTTACTTCCCCTTCCTTTAATACAATGATTTTAAAACGATTGATATCATCAAGTGAGTTTCATTGTGTTATATAGGCTATAATATATACATATAATATATTATTTTATGTTTAGTGACTATATTTAAAAAACAATTTGAAGCATAAACTGTTATTAAACTGAAGCAACGTTTGCTCATAGAATGTAACTTATTTAATGTTAAGTATCATTAAATAAATATGTTTTATCTATTTATTATAAATTATAATAATATTAACTATTTAGTGCAGATGACAACCATTTTTATTTTTACAACTTTTGAACATTTTTTGTGAATTTAATATCGGTGAATATTTTTTTTATAAGGTATATGAATTATAATTGATATCACTATTAACAAAAATAAGGCAAGATGTTCCGGGCTATCATGAATCATTAAAATGATGTTATATACTTTTCTGTGCGTCGATTAAATTCTCATTTGCAGAATAAGTGGTTATTAACGTTACTATTATATGTTTATTTTAAACATGTATAGATAGTAAAAACCATAATGATGATAAACATACATTCTGATATAGTAAAAAGAATTATAAAATACATTTTTATTTTAACCAATAATTTAATATTAATAAATTATATTTCAACAAGCGCATATAATTTAGAAAATATTAAAATTTGTCTATTAATTTATTTTTGGAAATTTAAAAAAATTATAGCAATAGACACATGACCAGTGTACAACTGTTATATTATATTTAAATAGTATTTTTGGTTAACTGAAACTCAAAATAAAGCAGTTAAAATTGTCACTATTATCGCAGTGCTCCTTAAAAATCTTAAATAGTTAATTTACAGGACTAATTTATACAAATATTTTAAAAGTTAAACTATTATATTCCATTTAGCTTATTCTAATGGTTATTTTTAGTTTTATAGTTAAGACAAAAAGAAGATTGTCAACAAAACTACTAAGGAGTATAATGATTAATGAGTATATTTTATAGAAAGCATTTATGTAAACGGAAAATGCTATGATACCTACAAAATATGTGTATATTTTTGACAAAGTTTTATGTTTTTGTACAAAATTTACTAGTTATGTAGATATATTTATATACCATAAAATATCTATAGTTTTTATGTTCACATTAAATTTATTTTAATAATAGGTTGAATTAATCTTATGACCAGAAAAAAGGCCTAAAATGCTCTAAAAAGTTTCATCAAAAAAAGCAAAAGGGATTTTATGAAAATATTTAGGGATACTCAGAGGATAACAAAAATATTATTTTTCAATGCTAACTTTTGTATTAATTAATTTTTTTAGTCGTCTATCAATTTTGTTCGTTTTTAAAATAAGTATTTATTTTATACAGCGTAGTTATAATTGAATAAAAAATTAAAAAATTCAAATTTTATGTTTTGAAAATTTTATACATTACATTTATAACTTTTAAAAGTATATAGTTTGTATGATGGGAGTGACATCTATCCCTTTGGGAATAATCGGTTATATTTCGCAATTAAATAAAAACGCTTAATTGGTTATGACAAATATAACCTTACAAGTTTTAAGGGAGTCCCAGGAGAACTGTGTTGTTTACAAGTTTGTTAACAAACACCCGATGTCAGGTCGTATTTACGTTCTTGTTCATATCGGATTGGGTTTTATGGGCTCATATTCGTAAGCTTTATACCAGCCTCGTGGGAAAACTGTATTGCCAAATGTTTGCGGTTCGATTTTAATTCATCCCTCTTAGCGATCATTTTTGTCTCAGGCATAGTGAACGTATTTTTATTTTAAAATGTATTTTGTTATATACTATACTGTGTACACTTTCAATACACCAGTGGGTTTGCATACAAACTACAACACGGGAATAAATGGACAGTAAAAACATGATAATGCAATATTCGCTTTAAAAGTCCACCGGGTGTATGTACAGACAAAGCTTAAAAAACATAGCTAATGGCTATTCGGATACTTTGTTACCCCTACGTTTTCATTACCTACAGTATATTGGAAAG